TTCATACATACATACACACACACACACACACACACACACACACACACACACACACATATATATATATATATATAATATTCATTCATATTCCTCCCTTCCTCTTTTTCTTTCCATGAGCACATTTCATAAAGCATGAGAAAACAGCAAGAACCATAAAATAGAAAGATAGAGAAACTTTTTAAAAAGGCATTTGACACATCAACATTGATTTTGGTAACATCCATATTTTCCTCTCAAATGTCACTTAAACTTGTAAATTCTCATTTAGATTCTTCAGGTCACAGCTGGTTCTAGGTATGCAAGCTAAACATCAAAGATTACCTGCTGTGTCCATGACTATAAGAAGTCAGTTCAAGGCTACTTGAATAAATGCACAGACAGAATGTGGCTGATTTTAGACATGAGTAGACTGAAGAGTAAAAGCAAAAAAACAAAACAAAACATCCAAATCTAAACCAAACACACAACTCGGTTCAAACAAACTACTCAACATCATAACTCATTAACATCTATTTGACTTTAAAGTTACTAATTTCATTTTAAAGGTAGAGTGGAAATAAAAGTACAGCTGGTTTAGAAGCTGTGATACAAGCCAAAAGAGAATTCTGCTTCTTTCAGAATTCATTCCACAGCTTACTTCAGTGAATTATAGATAAGGCAATTTATGCAGTGATTTTTCTTTCATCTTTGAAGAGGGCTGGCAGAATGGAAAGTTAACTCATTTTAGTGTTACCTAAATGTACTGACAGGAAATTCTAATGTTTCCAAACATCTGGAAATCAGCTTCATGGGGTGATTTCTTTTCTTAAAGAATGCCTTTTCTTATACCATATTTTACAGATTTATGTGGCTTCTAAAAGTGTTTCAACATAACTAAAGTCTGTACCATTCACAATAAAACATTGCATTCAAGTAAAAAAAAAATACTTTACACAATAAAGATGTTTTTTGTAAAACTTTACTCTCCTGTTACTTCTTTCTGAAAGTACCTTAGCCAGTGTACAACTTTTACTATACCATCATAAGTTCTTCATAGTCATTAGTAGTTTTTTTAAAAATACCAGTATTTTATTAAC